CTCTTAAATAAAGATTGAAAAAAAAAATTGTTGATATGTTTTAGAGAACAAAAAATGCCATCTATTGCACTAATAGTCAAGATGTAAAAATGATGGTTTTTAAAAAAAATGATATAAGTTATGATTTTTTACGCAACTCAAGTTTTAGGAAAAATATTCAAAACTTGATCCAATTACTGTTTCGACTTTAAATAGTGAAAGTACATCAAATTTACAATCTGAGGCATAACATCTCTGATCACGCCTTCCTTCGGATGGGAAGTAAAGCCGTTGGTCCCCGGTTGATGAGTTGATGGGTCGATAGGTAGGGTCCAGGTGTGGGAGCTGCCTTCCTGGCACGTCGGTAACATTGGTGCTCAGCACGGAAAACAAGATCGACGGAAAAAACAAACCTAAGGAAAAAAAAAATCAAATTTACAAAAAAAATTCACCGGAAAAAATTTTTCTAAGTGGCACCGTTTTCGAGATGAAGCGGTTTGAAAGTAGATATTTTTAAAATGTTTATAGTTTTTGGACATTTTTAAATGTATTTCGCGGTTTTCTAGTTAAGAAAATATTTCTTTTCCGAAATATCAGAAAATTTTACACTGAAAGTGCTCTTGGTGGCTCATCGATATGATCTAAATTATCCGGAATGTGTATGTTTTAAAACAATTAATTTTCTTGCAAATATATATTTCGCTCGTTAGCATATACAAAGAACGATTTTTCGAGAATGATTTCATTTATTTTTGCATTTTGAGATTGATTAAGTTGTGATATAAATCCATATTTTAATTCTTAGTAATACCAACCGTTTTCTTTTCATTTTAACAGTTTGAAAAGTGTCTGACTTCTATTTGTCTTTCAAAAATAGGAATACATGAGTGGTATTTTGTTCGTTGAGATCGTCCTTATGAGTTTCATATTCTTCAGTAGTTGCATAACAAAAGAAAACTTGAGTCAGCTGATCCTCGTTTCACTTCTGAGCCCAATCGTATAGTTCCTTTGCATTTGTTTTATCGGATGTTCACGTTCTCTAGCTAGACTAGCTCTGGTAGCCATACGTTTCAGTGATCCTCATATAGCATCACATGGACCTTTTCCATGCGATGTTGCGAAGAAATGCCATTCAACTTCCATTCCACATTTATTCTTAAATTGGCAAATATTAGAAAAACATTCAGATTTTTATACTGGGAGGCAGCTCCGTCAGACATGAAATATATTTTATTCATAGTTAACTGCTGTTCTGTACGTAGAAAAGCAATCATTTTTTAGATAAATAAGTTTACAGATACAGAATCATGGCGCAAATCTTCTGGAATTACTACAAAACCCAAATGATTAATTTTTCCTTCATGTTTAAAGTTAATGATAAATGGATGAATAGTTGCTTGCTGATTATTCCAGTGATGACTTTGTACTTCGTCTTGTAATACAAAAGTGTAGTTTTCTGAATTATCACATATTACTACAAATTCACCTTGCTGCAAATTTTGTTTTGTATTCTGCAAAAACATAGACTGCTGTTGTTTCATAAAATCATGAGGTATTAATTTCTCTATTTTTCCAATTAAATAGAAATAGGAAATAGATTCACCCGGCTCTTTAGCTAATATTTCTATACCACATCTGTCAGTTGTGACCCATTGTTCAAATTGTATTTCATAAATGCCTTTTCCTACGATTTTTTCCAATAAGTTTTGTTCAAAAAAAGATGAATTCATGCAGTTTTCACAGCGTCGTTGGCAGCAATCGACTGCTTTTCTTTCCCATATCAAACTATCTGTAATCGACTTCAAATCAATGGACAACTCAAATTTCTTTAAGTTGTGAATAATCAAATTAACATTTTCATAAATAGTACATACACACACACATTATGTGTCCCTAAACTAGTTGTCAATTTACAGTTCTTAGGCCTGAGATTCGCAAAGGTTGAAACTCCAACTTGTATTTCACTATTTAATTCTTTGAATCGGTTGTATAACTCCCGTAAAGTGGTCATCATTAAGTCATTTGAACTGACTGATGCTTACTATATTTTCTTATTGTTACGCAATCATGCTGGTGGTTTCATCGTCTTAAAAAAAACTGCAGAACAAGTTCCTTCGTATCATCACTCAATCCACTGCCTACACAGAAAAAAATTCTGAATTTTAATTGTGATGTAAACATTCATTCACGTAAACTTAAATTTAATTTCACACAACCGAGCAACTTGTAAACAATGTTGTTTACAAAGATGGCCTTTGTATACAATATTTGCTACATTGCATGAATTGTGCTAGAACTTTACATGATATATAATGTAAACTTATATGATATTCGACGCTTCATTTGTGTGCATCATATTGAACAGAAATTTACACTACTTTTCGAACTGTGTAACCTCGAAGTAATAGTGGAGTTTAAATGTTGTTTAGATTGTGTTGTCATATACCTGGTTGTGTTAAATGTGTCCATAATTTTCTGAACTGTCCATGATCTAGGTAATACGATCAAGAGCTCAGTTTTCGTTGTATCTTCTTTCGAAAAGTTTTCTGTTAGCTGTTCAATAATTTCATTACAATAGTCAGTTTTGTTATCATCTAAGTTTGCTTCTGCATTAAGTGCAACTATGTGCTTTCTAATTCTTTGATTAATTTCATGATATTTCTTCACAGCATAATTTACACAACTCATTTTTCCACATCAATTGGTGATGTTAAAATACTAGATATAGATTTGTTGAAAAGTTCAATATTAACGCTTTGCAAATATTCGCCAACATTAGAGTCGATTGTTTCTACCGATGTTATTGATGGTACAGTAGTACAGTTACTAAAGATTCCTGACTTGAAACATTGATGTTGATATCTTGTTCATCACAGTTCGATAACTCGTCGCTACTTGATAGTTCGGTACGTTTAGAAAGCTGTATACGACAAGAATCACATTTTTTAATTTACTGTTAAGTTGGTTCTGTTCCGCAAAACCCAGATCAACCAATTTCTGTATATTAGAATCCGTGAGATTTTGTCAATTTTTCGAGCAATTTTTTCAAACACGCTTATGTACTTACAATGAAAAGTATTCATTTTAACTACCACTTCGTCTTCTGAATTACTGAATTTAAGCAGGTCACTTTCACTTGGTACCATGAATTGCTTAGCAATAGGTAGCATGTTAGCATTTTAGCAAAAGGTCGCATTGTTTTATTTTAATTTTTAAGAAGACATTTAATATATTAATGTGCCACTAATAGCATTTTTACTGTTAAATTTTCTGATATTTCCGATAAAATATTGACGGAAAAAATTAATTGTAAATTTTGTGTACTTTCATTATATAAAGTCAAAACAATAATTGGACCAAGTTTCAAATATTTTTCCAAAAATTTGAGTGTTTTTTAAATCCTAACTTTTTTTTCCATAATTTCTACAAGACTTATAGTGTGGCATTTTTTGTCCCCTAAAACAAATCAATAAATAAAAAATAAATTAAAACCTTTTTTTTTTTTGAGAAAAATTGTTTTTAAGACTTTATTTGAAATAAAAAATAAAAGGTGGAGACAATCTTTTTGGAGTGCATATTTTTTTTTTTCAAATAGTCTCATCCATTTTCTGCAAATTGATCGAGCAAACAGATTTCGAGTAAAAATTTTCAGATGATAAGCTTGATATTTTCCTATAGGACATTTTCAAAAATAAGGCTGGATTCATACGCGTTCCACGTAAGTATTGTTTTTAATTGTAAATTTCGGGAAATAAGTGCAAGATTATTGGCGATATGAAGATGCAAAATGACACAGTCGGTAATAAGGAACGTTTCTGTAAATTTTCAACCAAATAAAAAATAAAAATAATAAACCGATTTGCGCATTTGTAGGGAATTGCATGTATATATGATATAACCACAACGAGATGGCCGTTGGGTCGATAGGTAGGGTTCAGGTATGGGAGCTGCCTCCCTGGCGTCGGTAGCACGGAAAACAAGATCGACGAAAAACAAATCAAGGAAAAAAAACTTGATAAGGGAATCCCAATACTAAATATATCACATGATAATATTATCTACCATACTTATCGACTTCATAAAAATTTGAGATACCTTCACTCTACTAATACAGTCATTCAACTCCAATCTACATTGTATAAGACAGTCCACGAACTAAATTTTCAATTACTATAAAGACAGTAGGTAGTAACCTAACCTTTGTTAGAACCAACATCTATATTATCAGTTCTGTCAGGCTAAATTACTCCTGCCATTTTGTAAAATGAACTATTTTCTAGAACATCTTGCCCCCACCAATTATTTCATGAAGCAGGAACTTCTGATATTGAAAGATTGCTTGAATGTACTACCATTTTTTTTTTCTCAAATAGTTGTATTTTGTTTAATTGGCCGGAGTCGAACGATTTTCATGCAACTGCTAAGCTCTGGTTTTAGAAATGATTGATGCAGTGGAAACAAATACACCTATCTACGGGTCGTAGTTTGTGATAAACTGGCAACACTACTCATTTGCTACCCATTCACTGCGGCTGGCCTCAAGATGAACCATAAAATTCCGAACATTATACACACCCACCATCCTCAAATCCATGCTCGGATCACTGCAATCATTTTCCATTAGCGAAGATTTATTTGGTCAGCCATCAGGGGATTCAACGAATAACGAATTTAAACATCAGCATAAAATAAGCAAATGCCTGATTATCTGGAAAATTTTTGTCTCCCACGCGTTACACGGGAAAAAAAAACATTTCTTTGGCATGTGGATATATTTTGAGATTTCCAGCTTTAAAATAATTTATTTCGAACTGTTGACATTTGCTTTTTTTCATTATATTTTCCCGCAACAAAATTCTCACGGTGTACAAAAAGCGACCCTCCCGACTCATCCCAAGAAACGAGCGCTTTAGCATTCCGCATTACTTTATTAGAGTACCCTCTTGCCGTGCCTTTCAGCTGGAAAAATAACTGACGTTTTTTGTTAAATCCCTTCTTTCGCATTTCTCTTCCTTCCACAGGTGATACGGAGTGGTGATTTGGACAGCTACCCTCTACTGCAGCAGTTGATTCTTTCGGATAACCTTATAGCCGACATCGAAGAAGACGCTCTCGGACGGTTGGAGCTGCTGTCGACACTGTTCCTTGACCGCAATCGGCTGGTGCGCGTTCCGATTAGCCTCCCATCGAACCTGATCCACCTTCATCTGCAGAACAATGAAATTTACGAACTCCTGCCAAACGTGTTTCGGAATTTAAAAAATTTAAAGACTCTCAATCTCGCCGGAAATAGAATTGCCTATCTACCGGAACTGCCTCTACCGGGGTTGGTGGAGTTGAATGTGAGGCGTAACGACTTGAAAGGGTTGAGTCAATCAGTAGTGAAAACGTCACCCAACCTGAGGGACTTTCTGCTGGAGAACAATCCGGTCAAATGTGCCGACCTGCTCGGCATTGCCGAGTGGGTTAAACCGTGCCGCGATGAGATGCTTTTCGATGATAGGGACTATCCTGACAGCGATGACAGTGGAAATGAATTTGAAATTTTCGGAAGATTTACGACCGGTCTCCGGCACAATAGCTGCTGCCGTAGAGAAGGCAAGAGAAAAACTCCACTGAAGATGGCGATGAAAATCGCTTCATTCAAATCGCTGTGCCGAAATGAAAATTTAATTAACCTTAACGCATCAAATCGCCTTAAAAGCGATCAAACAACCGTGAAGCATCCATTAGAAGACGATAAAATCATTCCACCGATAACGAACGCAAGGACTACCACCACGGCCGCTACTACTTCTGCTAAAATTGGCATGATGAATGATAAGCTCAGGCCCACCTCCGAGGAGAGTTTATTAAAGAATTTAACGACCCCGGCAACACTGTCAGCACAGCTGCAAATACCGACACCAAAGGTTCATAATAACGAAGCTGGTGAGGCAAATTCTAGCTTCATTATCAGCGTCGAGAAGAAGGCAAATTTAAATGCAAATTTGAGTGCTGAAAGTTTGCAAAATCTTACAACTGTAGCGCCACAATCGCCCGGACTGCGTTCAACAATGCCGGCGATACTGCAGCTTAATTTTCATAATGGGACGATTAAAGATGCGAAAGCAGATAAAGTGGCAACGCTAAAGAAAGGCAAAATCAGCTCATTGACAAAGAAAGCGACGAAAAAGAGTCAGAGAAAGTTCACCCCGAGCCCTAATCCGGAGAGCAATGATAAATTAGAGAATAGTTCAAGTGTAAACAAAGCCGTCAATTTAACGGCAATAACACCGATTGTTAACGTAACTGGAAGGAGACGTGACGAAGCGAGTGATAAGAGTGATTCCCGTGCAAAGGACCGACAGCCCGAGGTGGAGAAAAAACTCAACAGAAATAGCTTAATTCAAGCTGATTCGATGGCAACAGAAACGAGTCCCGGCCCGGAGCAAACGACAAGTACGAGTGACAAATTGGTAGAAATAACATTGACGACGGCGGCGGCGACGACGACGACGACGGAGATGCTATCCTCGTCGTCCGCATCGTCATCATCCCTGACGCCTGCTTTGACCTCGATCATGGCAAAATATGAGCACACGGCAGAGCAAAAATGGACAAAGCCAACTACGACGACGACGATGATGATGATGATGGTGACGACCGGAGCAAGGACAACAAACGAGGTCTCCATCAACAATAAAAACAGCTCTCATCCGAACAATACTAAACAAACGAACAGCAGTGCCAACGGCAGTGTGGAACAAAACGTTTCACTCACTACAACTCCGGCGCCAGTTGTGCATGGAGCTAAACAGACCAACTACGGTAAATCCAGTGCCAAAGGAAAAGCCAATTCCACTCGGTACAATATAACCAAAGCACGCAAGAATGTAAATCATATGAAGATGAAATTAAAATTTAACCACGATCAAATGCACGATGATGAATTTCGCGACAATTTTGACACTGACAGCGTAGGTCTGCTTGGAAACAACTTTGGCTATGGTCATCCCAGTCACGGCAATGGCCCGCACAGAAAAAGCAAATTTTCCATCTACGACAGCATCTATATGGCGTCGCTGAAAAATGCCAACTTCGAACCATTCCATCATTCCATGCACGTACCCAACGCAAACCACTCGGTACTGGCAGAAACCCCCGCTGACAAGACAAGTAACGGCGAAATTCCTGCCACGTCCGTAGAAACGTCGTCAAAAATTCTACCGCAAGAATGGAATGATGTACGACCAATGTCAAGTGGCGGCTCTCATTACGGTCTATTCATTGTGGTCGGGGCAACATTCGGTATGCTAATTTCATTCGGGTTGTTCCATCTCTATTATTGTCGTGTCCGGCGGGGTCAACATCTGCACGGACATCACCATCATTATCAGCAGTATCCGACCCAGCATAGTTCTGATGGTAGTGGCGGTGGCAGTCATAATTCTACTCATCATCGCTATTCATACGCATTCGAACAGGACGACAGTGATGAACGTCTAACGTATACTATATCGACCTCGGTCCTAGATGGTCCTGAGGAGGACGGATGTTCGCCAATCCATCACCAACAGCAGCAGCATCCACAACAGGATCGGCAGCGAGATGTCCTCCATATGGACATACTAAATCCACTCAAATCAAAACCATTGTCACGGAATCCGAGCACAAGTAGTAGTGCTAGTAGTTGTTTCGACGTCGACAGTGGTGCATCCAACTGTAGTGAACTGGGTGTCCTCCGGCCAACAGTAGCCTACAGTAGTGATGATTATCGTTCCGATAATCAGAAACCCCAGCACCCCAATCGGAATGCGTCCAATAATCATAATAATTCGGAAAATCGGACCACTCATCGGGATACTGCCATCGATAGGTGGTGACGACGATGACAAAGACGACAACTTCATTATTGTACATTTAATGATGCTTACAGTGTGTTTGAGTGAGAGCATATTTTTCATTGAATGCACTCTCGCACCCTCTCTCTGTCTATCCCGATGTCAAGAATCAATTACCACCTACCAACGGAGAGACGGTGGGGGAAGGGATCTACTATAGAAATTCATAGCAGCATTTGTCCTCACACCCGATTCACCCTTCCGTCTAGAATTTCTAATTGTACTCTGTTACCGACGAACGGACAGTTTGATTTCGATTCTGGACAGCTTTGCAGGAACATGGCCACACATGGCAGCAGACACTCTGATGCACTTCGTAGATTACAGTCTAGGCTGAGCATCGATTTGTCGTCCACGTAAAGGGGAAAATGGCAGACGACTCAGACGAGGAAGGTGGTGGAGTAAAAGCATTTATAATTGCGGTTTGAAGTGAGAGAGAGAGATGCATTAAATGCATTCAAGATATTGCTGCGGTATGTGTACGTAATGCGGAACAATAGTTTGATTGCTCTCCGGTAGTAGTAGCTTCCTACCAAAGAGCTCGAACGTGCGAATGATTCTAAATAATTCGATATGTGATCTGATCTCTTGAATGTTGGAAGCTTCTCTCTGAACGTGCCAGTGAGTGAAAGATTATAAAACCAAACGGTAAGCCACGTGAGTAATGCTTGTATGTGAGGCTATTTTTGATTGCAGTGAAATAGATTAGGTACAATTCTGGTGCCAACGGGAATAAAGTGGAAAATATCGAGTCCGATGCAGGATGAGGAGTGCTTCCACAACAAAACGATAGATGCAGGGTAGCGCAATTTTACTCTCTAATTAATTAATTTTGAAATAAGTTAAATGGTAGTCTTTATTATTTGATCTCTGCTAAATGAGATGTTGACAGCAGATGCTCCAGACGGTGGCATCGTATAACAGCAATAGAAGAAGATGGAGTAAGACCACCATCCAAAGTATAAAATTTAGTGAATGCAAAATAAATTAGCGAAGTTTTTTCATTAATTTTTCGAATCATTAAAAAATATTCATTTTTTATAGGCAGGGTAACAAGGTAAAGGTATTTCTGCAACCACTGCGCACTGAGGCAAATAAATCTTATGAATTTAATAAAACCCGACTTATGACTTTCAAAAGCGTAACTTGTCATTGATTTTCGTCTATCATTAGGTAGCTCTTATACGCCTTTAACCATTTTCTTTTATCAAGCGTTGAAAGACTAGTGGTCAACGTAATCTCAACGTTCATTGTTCGGTTCCAGCCTGTTTCGTTTTATTATTTATCAAATCAATGAAATTCATACCGATTTATTGTGGCTAAAATTTATAAGAGGATCTTATGGAATTATTACGTTCTTTTGCCTCAGTGCATCAAATTGGACGCAACAAGCATCAACAGATAAGTGTTATGGTCACATATATTGCAACTGAATGTCTTTGAGATCGGCTTACTGGTTCCGGAGATATGGCCGGAACAAGTTTCGGTGAGCGTTACAAACTCAATTTTTTTTTTATTCTTTATTAAAGAGTTTTTTAGCCTTGGGCTAGTTCATTTCTAAACAAACTCAAATGCGAGACATCAAACCGCAGTAATAATGAGTGTCCCGGACCACATTGGTCACTCCTGGACAAATTTCTAGTACATTTTTACTGTATAGTATATTTTCACATGCGTAACACATTTTTTACATACTTCTATCAACTGTTACAGAAGAAGTACAGCCTAATGAAGGGTACCAACAAATGCCAGAGATCACAATTGTTTCACCCAAAATCCTATGATTCATTGCATTCAAAATAAGATCATGAAAAGCCCCACTGATCGAGAAGCTTGTTTTGATTAATTGTTTTGACGTTTTGTAAGTTCAGGAGCTGCAAGGTGTTTTAGAATGATATAAGCATATTGCTAATCTATTCTGTATTGAACATTTTGTGGAATCTTGAGGATTTCATAAAGATTTGACTATGGGGGGTCGTACCCAGCCAAGCGTTCTTACTCCGTCTTCTTCTAATAGAGTGATTTGAGATTTGGGTGTCACTGTTTTTGTAAACAATTACTTCAACAATCGATTTTTGGCGAATAAAAGTACATTCTCGCAATCTTAGCTCATAATAAGTTAGGGGAGTGGTTTCTATTGCAGTTGGTATAGGTTGTTTGCGAAATTGTGAAAAATAGGTTACGTCCAAATCTCGAATGACTTCAGAATAAGCGACAATCAAAAATCACATTGACAACAGCTTGGGTTAGCTGCACACTTAGAGAGGATAGTCACCGATGATATTTTTTGGAAGATTAAGGAGCGTAGGCATAGTCATTAGCAAATTGATATTTTTCCGCTCTCATACGCTCTCAATATCATGCGTGATATTGGAAAAAAAATATCATGCTTAATATTGATTTTACAAGCTCCTTTGATATTGCGAGACTATTCACAACGTGTAAAGTTGAAGCTGAGAGTTGAATCGACGCAAAAATTATTCGGTTGCACCTCGTTTTCTTAGAAAGAGAAGGTATAGTAATACCAACAATCAATACGAAACTATCAATTTTAAATTGGCTCACTACTTGACTAACCTATTGGTCCCAAGCAAACGATTAACGTACCCCATTCTTATCGAAATTCTAGTACTACGTAATGTTTGTTTTGATTCGCTATGAAAGTTTGACAGGTAAAATGAGGGGTTATTGGTTTTTCCTATGTTTCGAGGGTGAATCGATTAGCTTGGGACCGAAGATAGTACCAGAGCTGAGCCAAAAAGTTAAGCTCGTTTCTTCGAGACCTTCTGGTCTTAGAGTTACCTCTATGGTAATACTATCTCGTTTTTCTCTTCACCGATGGCAGACACGAAGTGACTGCTGCCAGTCGTTATGAATGTTTCGGTTGCGATCGAGTGTAAAGCCAAAATCATGACACTCAATCTCACCACAGTTTGTTCAACCAGTGGAACCTAACGATTTTAAATTGGCTCACACTGGACTAGCATATTGGCCCCAATTACATCTACAGGCGTACCCCATTCTAGTCGAAATTCTAGTACTACACTATGTTTGTTTTGATTCGCTATGAAAGTTTGACTGATAAAATGAGGGGTTCGTGGATTTTCCTATGTTTCGAGGGGTGCATCGATTAGCTTGGGACCGAAGAGAGTACCAGAGCTGAGCCAAAAAGTTGAGCACGTTTCTTCGGGACCTTCTGGTCTTAGAGTTACCTCTATGGTTTGTTGACTTTTGCAGCTGGTGAATTTTGATTTCTTTTATTCATTTCGTCAAACCAATGTAGACTGCATACAATGATTTTAACAATATTTACTTACATATTATGCATTATTTCTATTCTGTTTTAGCCTAGTTTTTATTTGCTGGTTGTATATAGTTATGTTAATAGTTCCACCATGCAAATTATAAAGGCGCATCATTCGATTGATTGGGCCATAGTTTGTTCTGCAAGATTTTTCAGTAAATAAATTCCATGTTCTAAGATGTCGAAAAGGTGTGTAAAAGTTTAATAGTGCGAGAAATTCTGCCGAATCTGTGCTCAGTGATATAATGTCGTTGATGGAGAAAAGCATTGTAAATTGGCGGCGCTCCTTAAGTGTTTGTATATTGATGAGCATGCAGCGCGCTTCTTAAGATATTAATGGAAATGCAGTCCAATTCAATTTACGTAAAGCATATAAAAGGATTTTTTTTTTTTTGACAGATTCCATGCATTCTTCGTGTATAGAAAAGTATGGATTCCATACTAGGTGGCAGTATTCCAGAATTGTTCTTACATGTGTGGTATATAATAGCTTAATAGTGTATGGGACTTCGAAATTATGACTGAACATTTTAATGAAGCCTAGCATTATGTTTGCTTTACATTCCGAACTTTATATCTGAGCTTGCAATATCAACCACAACTGTTTGCTTTTGTTGATTTTTGTCTACGAAAATCAAGTGTGATCTTGTTCTTTTGTGAGATTTTTTTTTACATAATTCCAACACTGGTCACGATAGAGCGGGTGAGACCCTGGCGAGCCACGAACGAAGGCTGTCGACGATATTCTCTTGCAGACGGGACAAGTGAGCGTTTTTGAATTCCCTGGCCGATGATGAGAAAGCCGGATAAACGAGGAAGGCGTGATCAGAGATGTTATGCCTCAGAACATCCCGGTGGCACCGACTGGAACTGAACCCAGGCCTGCTGGGGTGAGAGATAATCACGCTTACAACTACACCACCGATGCCGTTAGAGATGCGCAATTTGTTTACAAAAACCACTACATTGCTTATAACTCAAGCGACTTGAACGGTTAAAGCACTGATAGCAATTTTAATCCATTTCACAAGCTTTTCGCTAAGTGGACGAAATGCGTAAGTTGAGCTTTTGCTGAATGTAAGTCACCATGTTTTGTGGCCAAAACTAAGGTAACTACATATACAGTATGCAAAAAACAGTTTATCCACCCCCAGCGAAAAAATTAGATTTGTTCCAAAAAACCCACCAGGAAATTAAAACACGGTTAATTGTTGTTCAATTTATTATTATTTATGTAAAACCAAAGCCAATTCGTATGATTTCAAAATAAAAACCAAATACTGTTGCATTTGAGACGTAATGTTAAAAAAAAGGTCAAATATAACGCAAAAAAGTACATCCACCCCTCTGGCTCACATAGTTTTAGTACTTCGTGTGACCACCTTTGGCATTAAGATCGGGAGACTGTGCTGGCCACTCGATAACCTTGATACGCTTTTCCTTGAACCACTGCGAAACCAGCTTTGAGGTGTGCTTCGGAACTCCGTCTTGTTGGAACGTATATCTGCGCCCCAACTTTAGCTTTTCTGCATGACCTCCTTGGTCATGATTCCATCGATGAACACCATGACTCTACCTGTAGAAAAAAAAATCAAAGTCATGCTCAGTTGGTTGCAGTTCGCAATTATCGGAGCTGATAGTCTCCGGTCTAGCTCCACCTTCTTCACGATAGCTCTGTCAATTCGGCCACTTGTCTTTGAAGGACGCCCCGATCGCTTATCTGGTGAGATAGAACCACGCTTTTTGTACATCTGCACAATTCTAGCGACCATATCTTTGTGAAGCTGGACAATATCGGCAATATCACGGTAACTTTTGCCAGTTTTGTGATGTTCAATAATCAAATTTCGGATACTGATCGAAATTTGTGCTTTTTAGGGCATTTTGCAACAAATAACGAACAATTTTGAACACGAACTGAAATTTTGAGCACGAAAACTTCAAGAGCACTAAATGACAACTAGACACAATGTTTACATTCGAGAAAGTTGCAGAATACACACTAAAACCAACAATCAATACGAAACTAACGATTTTAAATTGGCTCACTACTTGACTAGCCTATTGGTCCCAAGCAAACGATTAACGTACCCCATTCTAGTCGAAATTCTAGTACTATGCAATGTTTGTTTTGATTCGCTATGAAAGTTTGACAGATAAAATGAGGGGTTATTGGTTTTTCCTATATTTCGAGGGGTGAATCGATTAGCTTGGGACCGAAGAGAGTACCAGAGCTGAGCCAAAAAGTTGAGCACATTATTTCGGGACCTTCTAGTCTTAGCTAAAACTCAGTAAAACACACTTAAATCGTAGTATCCGTTTGGGGGTGGATAAACTTTTTTGCGTAATTGTTTACCCTTTTTCGTAATTTATCACATGAAATCTCAAGAAAAAATATAAACGCCGTATTTTCAATGAAAATGAGAAAAATAAACATAAATTGATAAATCATGGAGGAATACTCATAAAATTAAACTGATGTTCAACAGAAAAATAAAAATAAATAAAAAATTGGTAGGGGGTGGATAAACATTTTTTGTATACTGTAGGTGTTTTAATAAACCGCAGTTCCCCTTCGCGACCTCCTAACGTATATAGTAACAAAGCTGTATCACCATGTATATACCCACCATGGCCAAAACAACTTTCGGTATCACCACTTCACAACAATGATACGTTATTTTCAAGGCACTATTTATTGGTCAGCTGGAAATTTAACAGTAGTCGGGTGGTTGATAACGGTAACGGTAATAACGGTCAACAAAGCATGGAATGCAAACAATCCAAGATTTGTTTTAACTATACCGTAGAGTAAATAACAGGTAAAAAAAAGTGCAAGAAAACTCGCGACGAACTAAACAAAGCAGTGATGCCATATGTGATGTTTTCTGCTCGATAAGCCCAAAATGGACGAATAGGCCGAAGTGGTTCACTTCCCTATCTAGCTGGCCATTCTTACACCACATGATTTGGGTGAAAGTTGTTTATCAATCAGTTAGAAACCTTCACTTATTTTATAAATGAATGCAAAACAAGCTTATGAATATTCCTATTCCACATCTAATGCGTTCACCAAAGACGTTATGCAAATAACTGATAGCAAAAAAAGCTCACTTCGTTTCGGGAGTGAATGCTCTGCAGCCGCATTTCACGGGAATCCATCAAAAGGGTTGATATTTTCATCAAAATTCTTGCTCGTCAGCGAACGGAAAAATAAAAACATTCCAAATATTTCCATTTTATTATAACGTTCGAGCAAACAGAGTGACTCTCACCCATTTTGCCAGACTAAAGCCTAACCTCGTACCATGCAGGCCAAACAACCATTGTCCGTCCAGTCGTCGCCGGTTACCGTACGTTCACTGAGCAATAAAATGTTTGTTACATTGTTAGCATTTCCGCTTATGTTTACTTCTCTCCCAACATTTCGCTGCCTGTACACCCATTTTATTTCCTGACCACATAGTTAGTGACCTCTCCTCAAGGATTCCCACGACGCCATGGCCCTCCGCTTCCTCACGACGAATGCTTAGGTGAACCAGAAACAGAGGTCGAAACTCTTTCCCGAGTTCCGGCAGATTTTGGTTCCATGGTCACATTTGAAGCGCGACGCGAGACTGTCCACAATTGTGCTCCTGGTTTGCGCTTCTCTGGGCGATTTATATCGTCCCCCTCACTGATGCTCTGACCTGCATGGTATTTAAAATTCCCAAGTCTCTAGAAGTGTCATGGGAGAAGGCAAGCAATTTTCCCTGTCAGCCGAGGGTGAATGAGACAAATAGGCGATGAACGGGAAAAGTTATTCGGGGCATTCCGGAATCTTCACTTCACGTTGTACTACATTCTAATGTGCATGGTATGGAACGATGATGGGTGGTCGTTTTCTCTGTTCTGGAAAAGTTTCTGTGAATGTGGTCGGAATTAAATTGTTATAATTTTAGCATTACGTTGGGAAAGTTTCAATTTAATTTGATTCGGATGTGTATTCATATGCCGGCCTGCCATTGGCAGCCTTCTATGGTCCTAGGAACATGTTGAATTGTCATTAGCAAATGTCTAATTCTGGCAAAGCAAGTTTAGCGCGATCTTTGGTTAACAATTGTCGCTGACGTGGGTATATTATGGTATTTTGTGTGTTTAGGGCTATGATTATCAGTGTTTGGAAAATCATTCTCAAATCTCATTCAGCGCTCCCACGAGAATAAACTAACATACAAAAAACTCATAAAAGTTGCTCAAACGTCCATCGACTGATATAAAAACAACACTAATAATAGCAATGAATAACGCCAAAATATAAAGCAATGAATTGTTTAACCTGAAAACTCATAGGTGATTTTCATGCAGTGGAATTTTGCAAGGCAAAACTCGTAGACGAATAATCTCAAGCGTGAGAATTGATTTTTGGAGATTTTCCGAACACTGATGATTCTACAAAAAAATCATCCTGCTTCAATGAATTTGTGCCATCCATTAGCAAATAATTTA